AAGCAGTTAATAGGGGATCAAGGCATAAATTCTTAAGACGACCGGACGGGTCGTCACACACCATACTGTATGGCCCCGCTAGAGTTGAAAGAATTGAAAGAACAATTGCAATACTTGCTTGATAAGGGCTTCATTATACCTAGTATCTCGCCCTGGGGTGCGCTCGTGTTATTTGTGAAGAAGAAAGATTGGTCTGTAAGGATGTGCATAGATTATTGGTAGTTGAACAAAGCCACTATCAAGAACAAGTATCCATTGCCGAGGATTGATGACTTATTTGATCAGCTTCAGGGTGCCAAGGTGTTTTCAAAGATCGATTTGAGGTCTAGCTACCATCAGTTGAGGATTAGGGCATCCGATGTCCCTAAGACAGCTTTTCAAACTCGATATGGGCATTATGAGTTCCTGGTGATGTCATTTGGCTTGACAAATGCCCCACCAACATTTATGGATTTGATGAACCGGGTGTTCAAGCCTTACCTGGATTCCTTTGTGATTGTCTTTATTAATGATATCTTGATCTACTCCCGCAACCGAGAGGAGCACGAGCAGCATCTTCGGATCGTACTTCAGACTCTGAGAGACAGATAGTTATATGCTATGTTTTGAAAATGCGAGTTTTGGTTGGACTCAGTCTCTTTCTTGGGGCACGTTGTATCAGCAGATGGTATTTAGGTGGATCCTAAGAAGATTGAGGCCGATCAGAATTGGCCTAGGACTACTTCAGCCACAAAGATTCGTAGTTTCTTGAGTTTAGCGGGTTATTACCATTGTTTTGTAGAGGAGTTTTCATCTATCGCATCCCCATTGACTAGGTTGACCCAAAAGGGTGCCCCATTCAGATGGTCAAACGAGTGTGAGGCGAGCTTTCAGAAGCTCAAGGTAGCTTTGACTACGACGCCTATGTTGGTTTTGCCCACATATTCAGGATCTTATACGGTATATTGTGATGCATCTCGTATTGGTCTGGGTGCAGTATTTATACAGGGTGGCAAGGTTATTGCATATGCTTAGTGGCAACTGAAGTTTCATGAGAAAAATTACCCCGTTCATGATCTAGAGTTAGCATCCATTATTCATGCACTGAAGATTTGGAGGCGCTATCTTTATGGCGTGCCGTGTAAGGTATTCACAGATCATCGAAGTTTGCAGTAACTATTCAAGCAGAAAAAGCTGAATTTGAGGCAGAGGAGGCGGTTGGAGCTATTGAAAGAGTATGATATCACCATATTGTATCATCCCGGAAAGGCCAACGTGGTGGCCGATGCTTTGAGTAGGAAGTCAACTAGTATGGGCAGCCTTGTGTACATTCCAGTTGATGAGAGACTGCTTGCATTAGATGTTTAGGTCTTGGCCAATCAGTTCGTGAGATTGGATGTTTCTGAGCCCAGCCGTATTCTAGCTTGTACAGTTGCTCGGTCTTCTTTATTTGAGCGTATCAGAGATCGACAATATGATGACCCTCATTTGCTTATCCTTAGGGACACAGTGCGGCACAATGGTGACAAGCAGGTTACTATTGGAGATGATGGAGTTTTGAGGACCGTGTTTGTGTGCCTAATGTGGATGGACTTCGTGAGTTGATTCTTGAAGAGGCCCATAGTTCCCGATATTCTATTCATCCGGACGCCACCAAGATGTATCAGGACTTGCGACAACATTATTGGTGGAGGAGAATGAAGAAAGATAAGTTTCATATGTGTCTTAGTGTCTAAATTGTCAGCAGTTAAAGTGTGAGCATCAGAGAATTGGTGGTTTGCTTCAAAAGTTAGAAAATCCTGAGTGGAAGTGGGAGCGTATCACTATGAATTTCGTTGTTAGACTTCCACGAACTCAGAAGAAGTTCGATGCAGTTTAGGTCATTGTGGATAGGCTGACCAAGTCAGCGCATTTCATTCCTGTGGCAGTTACCTATTCTTTAGAGTGATTGGCAGAAGGGTCATGCCGTACCATGTTATGAGAGGGTTAATGCACTAAGGGTGATGCCGTGCCGTTTCTATTATTTCATATGGGGAGATTGAGAGTAAAAGCACGAAGGGGGTTGCCGTGCAGTTTCCTTTACCACTTTTACTTGTTCTATCTGTTTAAGGCATATTGATTGAACAAATCTTTATCACTGTTTTGATTCTTTATCTTGTGATCCCCTCGGCATGTCCCCCTCCCAATATTGCTTGTCTTGTTCTTCCTTTACTGCTGTTATTGGTATATATAACGTTATACTACACAGGTTATTTGTAGGTGTCATGTCTTAGCCTCGTCACTACTTCACCGAGGTTAGGCTCGACACTTACCAGTATATGGGGTCGGTTGTACTGATACTAGACTCAGCACTTCCTGTGCAAATTTTGGTGTCAGTCCTAGCTGATCTTGAGCCTAGCCGACTTCATTCCACAGGAGACACAAGATAGATCTGCCAGCGTCCGTAGACCCTGGAGTCCCCTTCTAGCTTTTTCAGTTTACTGTTTCTTTTAATTCAAATACAGTTGTACTTTCTATCAGCCAGTTACTTGTAGTTAATCTTAGAAGCTCGTTGAATTGTGACACTAGATTCTAGGTAGTTGTGTATAAATATTAAGGTTGTTATGGATTTCCGCACCTTTACAACTTGTAATGGCTTGTTTGTTGTTAATCACTAAAAGGTTTAAGAATTTGGCTTAATAATCTCTAATGTTGGCTTGCCTAGCAAGTGAAATGTTAGGCGCCATCACGGTTCCGACGGTGGAAATTCCAGGTCGTGACAGTTACAATCGAAATTCATCATTTTTGCTTGTATCTAAAATCAAATTATATAATGTCAAGAATTTAAAAGAGAAAAATAAAGTAAAATACTTTCCTTAAATCCAGAATTTAATCATGAAGAAAGTTCATGGAACAATTGACAATCATAATGCTCAATCCCAAAGCTTCTACTCAATTGGTTAGAGTCTCGTGCTGATAATGTGTTATAAAACAATAAAAGAAGAAGAAGAGTATTACAGAGAAAAGTAGGGAGAGTGAATTTTTATTGAGTTGAGATGAATTACAATGGAATAGAACTCCTCTATTTATAGGGAAAAAATGACTTAGCCGCCACGTAAAATCCTTACAATCTCTCTAAAATATAAACATTCATCTTAAATAAAACTCTATTTATAACATATACAACAATTTTACGGAATTCACGTCGCCTAAAAAAACTGAATGAATAAGAAAAAAGAAATACATATATGCAGTGATACCTACTAGCTTGAATTAAGTTTAGTTGTTGTGGGTTCACTTACATTAAAGTATGGTAAATTTAATTAAAGGAAATATTCTAGCTTTTATTAGATATCAAAGTTAACGTCTTCCTTTGTTTATCTTATCAAATCAAGTTTAACAAATTTTATTTATACTCATCAGCTTGCACATGAAGTTCAACTACCTTATTATTTTTCTCCTTATTTATTATCGTATTAGTTAAAGTTTGAGCTTAAACATTTTTACGAGGCACCTCTCACTGCCTCCTCCTATCTCTCGCCATGTGTCCTCAAAAGTCAAGACTGCACGAGACACTAACACACTACTATATTGTAAATTGGTCAATTGGTCATATTCTAATTCTAGGGATCTAATCCATTCAATTCAATCAAGCCAATGTTTTAAAAATAGGCTGGCAAATATTTTGTCAAAAATCATTATGTTATGCACATCCTGCTATTTTCACCTCCTCATTTCATCTTTTTACGAAATTTTCCAATTGAGAAATAAGAATAACGTTTTCTTTAAAAAGGTAATTGTAAATTTCTTAAGAAAAAAAAAAACGTTAAAAAGGAAAAAAATACAGTCCTAATTACTTCCTCGTAAAGGAAAATTTGATTTCATTCAAGCAGTATGAAAACACTGATTCTGTTGCCAAATTGTGAATTATTACACTCGTTCACAAGAAGGGTATTTTAGTCTATAGACCCAAACTTCAATTTCACTTTACAGACAAACAAACCCTCACCACTAGGCAGCGGATCTGATATCGCACTAAATTCTCCCTCACCTTCTCGATAAATCCAAAATATCGTTTATTATTCAATTTATCGTCTAGTACAGCTCCTTTGTCCAAAAGTTTTTCATTTTCCACTTCTGTAAATCAATCTACACCAAATTAATTTAAAATGTTTCCAATAAATAGTACACAGTGAAGTTTGACTGCTTCTAATAAATTATCTTCACTTTCCTCTAGCTTATTCACCTTTACTTTAGAAAATTCTTGTAAATAGTTAAGTAGTGTAGTATCTTTTCTACAGTCCATTAAGAAACTTAAACTCCTAATTTTATCAAATAGATTTCTTATTTTTTCCAATTTTTAAAGATCCATTGTATAATGATTTGTATACTTTTAAAGTACTTAAAATATTATACTCAATTTTTAAAAATTATTTGCATCATATCCATCAAAATAATCCAATTAACTTTTAATAACCGTTTCTGAATCAGACGTATATACCAAAAAAGGATTTAGGTTATGAAAATAATTGCAAGTATAGAAAATCGTAATGTAACTGCTTTTAGTATACAATTACATATAATTAGTCTTTTAAACAACAAAAAACAATCAAATTATCTATGTACTGTTTGAATTGAGCAACTTAATTATTCATCTAATAAGCTTTTGGTCAAAAATTTAAATATTTTGTGCACCATCATTGTAGTTTGTGCAATTAGTCCATATAATATTTTATATTATATACACTCTCATGTAATACTCCAATCAAAGCCGTTAAATAAAATGATCCATGATTACCTATTTAGTACATGATATAATTTAACAAAGTCCATCTAAAAAAACAAAAATTATGTAAAATACGGAATATACGGTGTACATAATTCATACAAAGCTGTATCCTAAGTGTTTTTAGTAGATTTTGTATATATATAAGTTGACTAACGAGGACGACCAATGCCACGTAAGCACATCTGCCGCATGGGTTCTATCTTAATCTATTGATTTTTATTCACCTCTCTTATTTTGCATCCTTTGCTTCTGCTGCTTCTACTTTCTTGAATCAATAATAGCCATATTCTCTTTCCTTTTTCATATACAAATTACTTAATATATGCAGATTTTTATTTTTTATATTTAATGTGATGTAAGCTGTCTTTAACTCAAGAAAGAGAGAGAAAAAGAAAAAAAGAAGAGAAAAACTCACAGGCATCTTCTTGATTTCTTTAATGGTAGAAAACAAGGACACTCTCTGCTAATTCTTCTTTTGACATCACAAGAAATATTTTTTTTAAGCTCTTCCAAATACTACTAGGAGAAGTGGGTAGCTGTGTTCTTGAATTTCTTAAAAGGTTCTTTCTTTAGTTGCTTTTTGCTTCTATGAGTTGGTGCTGTATATAAGATTTTTTGTGTGATTATTTTGATGGGACTGTAAATGGGGTCTCTTGAAAATGGGATTTCTCTAAAGAAAGATCAAAGCTTGCTTCGTTCTGCATCAGCAACTAGTGGGAGGAATAATGCATTTGGTCAAAGAGCAGTCAGATCGAGATTTGCAAGATTCTTGTTTGTTAACAAGATCAATTATTTGCAATGGATTTGTACTGTGGCTGTATTCTTCTTCTTTGTTGTTCTATTCCAGATGCTGTTGCCTGGTTCTTTAATGGAAAAATCAGGGAATCTGAGTTCTCAAGATAGTGAAGTAGTGGATTTAGCTCTCTTGAAAGAGTTGGGGGCTTTGGATTTTGGGGAAGATATTAAGTTTGAGCCTTTGAAGCTTTTAGCTAAATTTCGTGATGAAGCTGTGGAGGCCAATGGGACTGTTGCTTCAAGGACTGTACTGAGATTTGGTTATAGAAAACCTAAGCTGGCTTTGGTAAGCATCACTACCCCGGTTCAATTCTTACTTATTTAAAGTAAATCTTGACTGTGGTTAAGTCATAATTTCAGAATTTTGTTACTTTAACAGTTTAACTGTATGGTTTTATTCCTTCGAAGTAGTTTCTGATTGATTGTGTTTGCTGCATATAGGTATTTGCTAATTTGTTGGTTGATCCATATCAAATAATGATGGCTAATGTTGCAGCTGCATTACACGAGATTGGCTATGAAATTGAGGTAACTTGTCTGATTTTTACTTAGTACCTTAAGGCTCATTGAAATGGAGGCAATGCCAGCTGCTATGTAAGTCAAACTAGGTTTNCTCATTGAAATGGAGGCAATGCCAGCTGCTATGTAAGTCAATGGAACTGATCAGGAAGTTAAAACTAGGTTTTGGATGTTTTAAATTTCTAAGTTAAAACTAGGCTCCGAGATTAATGATAGTGATAACACAATTAGGGACTTCTTGCTTTAAATTTCTAAGTACGGATACAATGTTGTTCATGTACAAGTGGTAATCAGTGCTACGTGTTTAGTCAACTCAGGGTAACAAGTGACTACTGAAATCAAGGACTCTGCAGAAGTTGAACTGTTGCATTTGTTGAATACTACTTCCAGGATTTTTTGTATCAACTTTTCTTTTAAGTTGCTAGGAGAATTACACATGGAATTGGAAATCTTTGGGCCTGGTTTAGGACTAAGTTAAACCTGATAATCTGAGGGAATCACAAAAATCAGGTATCAAAGCAGAGGTGATTAGATTTGTCGTATACACTTGGAGAGATCATCAAGTTGATCTGGACTTGGTAAAAAAGGATTGATGAAGATTTTTCTAAAATGCTGGAGAAATAAAAAGACAACAGAATGCTTTAACATCAGCTTAGCTTATTGTATAAAGATGCCTGGTGAATGAATTTCAGCTTTTGCACACTTGGTGGTTTAAGAACGGGCAACCTGAATGTTTTCAACTTATGGGTAGCACCGTGAAAGATTATTTGTCAATCCAACAAGACCTGTAAATAAGTCCATCTCAATAATGTATTCTCTAAACAATTACTGTTTAGTTTCCTTAATAATTTTTACTAGCACAAAGAAGGCATGAATGTTGCTTGGTGCCTACAGCTGGCATGTCCTGCTAGGCTACAAGTATCAGAGGTTGTGGAACAAACAAAAGTTTCACCTTATCTTACAAGAGATGGTTATTTCTTTTGATAAACCTTACAAAAATCTGCAGGTGCTCTCGCTTGAAGATGGTCCAGTGAGATCCATTTGGAAAGATGTAGGAGTTCCAGTCATCATCACGAACACCAATGGGGATACAAAGATCTCTGTAGATTGGTTAAAGTATGTATCTTTTTATTATGTTCTAATAATTGCATAACTTTTGATTAATGATTGATGTATGAAAACTCTTTGTCTGTAGCTCAAGAATCATTTTTCTACTTGTTGTATACCTTTACTAGGCTCCTGCAATCAGACATAATTTTATCTACTCTTCATCAGATATATATTAAGAGTACATGGCATGTTAAGAGTTGTAGTTCCCTGTACCTTATAATCTTAAATATTTCACCACCCAGAATCCATCTATTACCGAAAAATTGGAATGACATAGTTTCTGATTATTTTACATACTCTTTGTAGCTATGATGGCCTACTGGTGAACTCTCTTGAAGCTGTCAACGTCTTGTCTTGGTAAGCATTATATCTTCCTTAACTGTCCTGTTCGTTAATACTTTTGTCATTTTCCTCCTTTCATTCTTCGTGGAGTATGCAAATTGCTGCCTTACCTGATAAATATCTACATAACCAATTCAACTCAGAATTGTTTGATATATCCAAAGATACATGCAAGAGATGCTATAAAACTCAATGAACCCAAGTTAGTTATGCTCTGGTTCTGGTTGAAAGAATTGCTGATGATTTCCTAGTTTGGGCTCTTCAGGAGTGGTTTCATGGGTGTTTTAATTTAGTAGGCTGATGACCTTCAGCTCCCTTTTCTTTAGGTAGAAAATGATCTAATCTGGATTTTGGTTTTATGTGGTGCATATCTGGTGCAATTTTCTAATATATTTTAGGCCAAATCCTATTAATGGTGTGAACATATACTAGACTGTACAACCGTGCATTTTAGAAATGGTAACAACAACAACCTAGTGAGATCCCACATGTGGGGTCTGGGGAGGGTAGTGTGTACGCAGACCTTACCCCTACTCCGGAGGAGTAGAGAGGCTGTTTCCGGTAGACCCTCGGCACAAGAAGGAAAGAGACAATGTATCAGTAGCAGCAAAGGAATCCTAACAGATAACCCCAGCAACGCAATAACCTGAAAATAGAGAGCAAAGTATTAACACTAAGCATCAACAAAGGCACAATACTACATACACAAGGGAATAATATGTACATACAGGGCCGCTAAACATACTATAGCCTAACTTTTGACCCTAAAGAATTATTAAGAACACAACTGGAGCCCCTAACAGCCTAAAACAAGACACTATCATACTAGCCTCCTATCTCCTAACCTACAACCCTAGTGCTCGACCTCCACACAACTTTCTATCAAGGGCCATGTCCTCGGAAATCTGCATCCACACCACGTCCTGCCTGATCACCTCTCCCTAATATTTCTTAGGCCGCCCTCTACCTCTCCTCATACCCGTTAAGGCCAGCCATTCACACCTCACCGGTGCATCCAGGCTTCTCCTCTTCACGTGCCCGAACCATCTAAGCCTAGCTTCCCGCATCTTGTCTTCCATGGGAGCCATGCCCACCTTCACCCGAATATCGTCATTCCTAATCTTATCTAGCTTAGTGTGTCCACACATCCATCTCAGCATCCTCATCTCTGCAATTTTCATCTTCTGGATATGAGAATTCTTCACTAGCCAACACTCTGCACCATACAACATGGACGACCTAACCACCGTTCTATAGAACTTTCCTTTAAGTTCCGGAGGCACCTTCCTGTCACACAGAACACCAGACGCTAGCCTCCATTTTATCCACCCCACTCCTACACGGTGCGTGACTTCCTTGTCAATATCCCCATCCCCCTGTATAATCGACCCCAGGTACTTGAAGCTCCCTTTCTTGGGGATGACTTGTGAGTCAAGCCTCACGTCCACGTCCGCTTCACCCGGCACACTGCCGAACTTGAACTCCACGTATTCAGTCTTAGTCCTGCTCAGCTTGAAACCTTTAGACTCAAGGGTCCGTCTCCAAACCTCCAATCTCTCGTTAACACCACCTCGCGTCTCATCAATCAGTACTATATCATCAACGAATAACATACACCATGGCACCTCCCCTTGGATATGGTGTGTTAGTGCGTCCATCGTCAGGGCAAATAAGAACGGGCTGATCGCAGATCCTTGGTGTAGCTCCATAACAACCGGAAAATGCTCCGAGTCGCCCCCTACTGTCCTAACCCGAGTCTTAGCTCCATCATACATATCCTTAATCACCCTAATATAAGCCACCAGAACACCTTTCACCTCGAGACATCTCCAAAGAACTTCCCTAGGTACCTTATCATAAGCTTTCTCTAGGTCAATAAATACCAGGTGCAAATCCCTCCTCCTATCCCTGTACAGTTCCACCAACCTCCAAATAAGATGGATCGCTTCCGTAGTGGAACGATCAGGCATGAACCCAAACTGATTCTCGGATATCGACACCAGCCTCCTTACCCTCGCTTCCACTACCCTCTCCCACACTTTCATGGTATGACTCAATAGCTTGATGCCCCTATAGTTGTTATAGTTCTGGATATCGCCTTTGTTCTTGTATAGCGTAATCATCGTACTCCACCTCCATTCCTCTGGCATCTCCTTCGTCTTGAAAATAACATTAAACAGCCCAGTTAGCCTCTCAATTCTGCTTTACTCACATACTTCCAAAATTCTACTGGAATTTCATCTGGCCCTGTCGCTCTGCCCCTGCACATATTACGCATAGCCCCGACAACCTCCTCGACTCTAATGCGCCTACAGTAGCTAAAATCTCGGTGACACTCGGAGTGCTCCAATTCCCCTAGCACAATGTCTTTCTCCCCTTCATCATTTAGCAGCTTATGGAAGTACGTCTGCCACCTCCGCTTAATCTGCGCGTCCTCTATTAACACTTGGTCTTCCTCGTCCTTGATGCACCTCACTTGGTCTAGATCTCAAGTCGTCTTTTCCCTCGCCTTGGCCAGCCGGAACAACTTCTTATCTCCGCCTTTTTCCCGCAATTCTTCGTATATGCGACCAAATGCTGCATTCTTCGCTTCTGTGACCGCTAACTTCGCCACCTTCTTAGCTTCATTATAACTTACTCTATTCCTCTGCCTCTCCTCCTCGTCCGTACTCTCCACTAACCGTCGATACGCCGCTTTCTTTTCCTCCACCTTACCCTGGACCTCGGTGTTCCACCACCAATCACCCTTGTGCCCGCCCGAGTAACCTTTCGAGACCCCTAGTACCTCTTGTGCCGCCTTCCTAATACTGTTTGCCGTCATCGTCCACATACCGCTAGCTTCCCCACTACTTCTCCAGGCCCCCCATAGCCAATAGCCTCCTCCCCATCTCGTGAGCTTTCTCTTCGTCAAGGCACCCCACCTAATCCTCGGACTACCCCGAACCACCCTCCTCTTCCTCCTTATCGGGATGCTGACGTCCACCACCAAGAGCCGATGTTGGGTC